CTATGTACTGTGCGAAATCAATCGATCTTGCAAGAATACATTTTTGGACATCCCTCTTCTAAGAATTCCAATTGAGTGTGTTAGTGTGGCCAGCTCAGGGCAATATGATATTATAAACACAGCACATATCAGTCTCTGCTGTTTATAACTTCATAGGAAAGAAAACACGCCATTCATAACAGTTTGAATGAGGAAACCACTACCAGAAGCAACAGGAAATTTGCTGCAAGACAGGCATATGTAACGATGACTTAGCGCAGATAAAGTCGTGTCTCATTATATATAGTTCTTGTGACAACAGGCCAGCGAAAAATCTAACAATCTACAGCAAAACCATCAATTATTATGGGCGTTATAACATAGGTGTGCAGCTGGATGAAACATAGACGTCGAACCCCCGCAGACGATTTAAATACCTTGACGAAACATACACGTCAAACCACGCTGTACGGTTAAATCACTAAATCCAATAAAGAGCTGGCATAGCTGACTTACCATCTGACTGTCAGCTTATAACACTTTCACTAATCTACACACACTACAAATGAGTACAGCAAATGCTAATTTTGTACTAGTTGTTGCTTCATTAAATTGAACTGCTGACTCTAACCCTGACTCCTTTGCTGGTATAGCATCCTTGCTATATAGCCTCGGTGTAGACCCAACAGAAAACACCGCTTCCAACAGTTCTTATATTGTTGTCATGGGCAGTTTTCTAGTGATAGCCTGAATATTGTTTTGTCGGAACGTGCTTACCGAGCCATCGATAGGAAACGGCTATTTGTTTATCCACCTAATGCATAGCAAAGGCTGTACTCGTCTGTTTCGAGGTCTCTGCCCAGCAACGGGTCTATATGCCATAAATATTACGCGCTTCTTGTATGTGTCAAAGACTGTGCTACAGCTGAATTTGTTAAATCCACAGAATGGTCATCACATTCTTCAGATTAAAATCCATTAGGTTACCATGTTTGGAATGAACTTAAGCAGTCTGCGTACTCAAGTCGAAGAGAACCGTGTCAGTTGCCAGAGTTACTGCAAAAATGAGTTGACTTTCATATCACAATATTACACCTGATCAGTTTTCAACCAATGTAAATAGGATGGGTTAAACCTATAGCTGCAATCTAAGAAAACAGGGGACCTAGTCAAGTGTTTCAGTAAAAAATATGACTAATTGTAAACAAAAGTCTGTGTTTAACATTCAAAATAGAAAACATTTTCCTCTGCAACAAATCAATCGAACTGAATTTTTATACGAATACTTACGAGTAGATATGTACTACACAACTTACAAGAATTTGATTCATATCCATTGAGCCCTTCATTAAAGAAAGCCATTTATTTCGTGCCACTTGGTAATACATTTTCTGCATATAGTGTCCACAAGGCCCCTTCGGGGTTTTAAAAATTGTAGCACGCAAACAAATTGAGCTAGCCACATGTGGCCGCTTATCCCATCTGTTGGCAGCAAAAGAAAACTTCCAAAGTTTCACTATGATCTGCCACAAACCACATGTGGCTAGCTCAATTTGTTTGCATGCCACAATTTTTCAAAACCCCAAAGGGACTTTGTGGACACACTGTTCATTTACTGTTCAAAATCTGCAGAAAAATAAAAAGGGAGCGGGATTCATAATAAATAAATGAAAGGATTTTTCCACCTGTCAGCTTTGATTTTTCACTCATCACAGGCAAGCAGACAAGACGGTCTGCTTGTAATTTACAAGTCTCTACCTTGTCTAAATTGTGGGATAGAGACAGTCGAACTGACAGATGTTCACCATGTAAACTTACGAAGTCAGTAACCACATACCACAGTACATGTACTCACTAGGTAATGGGACTTCTAAATCAATCTTGATGTCGAAATCATGTGCAGAGAAGAGATCATCTGTTTTGCTCCCTCCTCTTGCAACCTCTCTCTTCTTTTCTGGTTCCTTTTCTCGTTCTTTGTGTGGTGCCACTGTCATCGCAGCTTCAATGGCCAGTCTATTCCTCTCATCTTCCTCCTAGAGTTATAATAAAATACTTTAGCCAAAAGAAGTGCATCAAGTTAATATACTGTAGCATGTAGACATGTTGCTAGGCAATGACTGTGGAATAAGCAAATATACAGCAGCCACTGCTAAGTAACAGCTCTGCAAACTAGCGTGGTTCCATGGCAATAGCAGGATACAACAATAATGGGAACCCCAACAGACACAAACTCAACAATGGCACAGCAACAGAGCAACAGTGTTTCCTATGCAGCTCATGTCGAGATCTTATAAGCAGGACAGTCAGAGGTCTGCTGGGGCTCAGATGTTGTGAGATACTGGTAGTGGAGGCTGGGGATAGTTCAAGAATCCAGAGGAAGGGGAACATCCGCTTTGGGAAGCAGCCATCGAGTAACGCCTAGTGAAGATGTAGCTGTGGAGACTAGTGCTTGTGCATGTGTGTGTAACAGTGAACTGTAAAGTGCAGTCATGTGCTGCGTCCATCTATAGTCACTCATGTCACATGTGACAATATCTAATACTGCATATGGCCCAATACATATAAGATTCACTCTTTCCCAAAATTGATGCTATGAAAGTCTGGGTAAAGCTCATAACTGGATCTTATTTGGGGCAGGGGGGGGGATTGTCTCGATTCACCAGAGGTATACAGTTAACTGTTCTGACCATGAGACAATGTTTTAGGTTCAGTGAGATGATATACACTTATATGAACTTGATTCTAATCGACGTTACAAACTAGTGAGGTTCTAATGGAAATGCATCATACTTAATCTCTTGATCAGAGCCTCTCGTCAAAAAGAGTTAAACTGACGTGTTTTAAGCAACATACACAATTATGAGGGTAACACGAAACTTGCTTACTCTGAGTTCCTCTGACTGTCATACATAATGGGCGCACAAAATATTTGTTTCATTTCAAGCTCGTAGTGTTTCGGGGATGTGACTTATATTCAGGGAAGTACAGAGAGAGAGAGAGAGAGAGATCGCGTATGTATATGCAACTGAGCAGATGACAGGTCTCAATAAGTATGGATGTTACTTGCTGAACTGAGTTTGCTCTGCTTACCTCTGCAGCTGCTATGATCATCTGTGCATCTTCCATGTTCTCCTGGTCATGCACTTTGAATACCATGCGGGGTTTTGTGCTACGTCGTGTGAACGGGTCGTCAGCTTTCTTTCCTTTGTTCCTTCTCACTTCTTCCTGTAAAAATTTGTTTTTGCTTCAAAGAGATGCACAAGAAGAAATATACATTTACAAGTGTAACGAATGGCGGCTAATGGCATATGTCCATACTGCACACAACAGGAACAATTCAGCTGACAAAAGTTCATCCATTTCATATCTGCTTATCTCTAGGCCAAGGCACTGCCCATCTTGCGGAATTTCACGTGTGCACGCATAAACACACACAAAAAGGACATGAATATTTGAGGAGCAAACACACTTACAAAGCACCACTTTCATTAATGATATAATGCCCTCACCATGTAGTCCAGCCAAATGCTAAGTCAGAGATGAAGATTTCAACTTCAATAGCAAGCAAATGATGAATGCCAAGATATATGGAAACTGAAGGGAACAGAACTACACATGTCTGAACTGTCAAGTGGCGTCTTGGGAAGGGTTGCCAACTGTACTAACAGGTCTTGGACGAAGAGAGCAACAACAGTGAAGATCACACTCGGACAAATTACGTAAGAATGGCTTCCTTTGGGAACTGTAGAATTAAACTGGGGAAGTATACAGATAAGAAATTTGACAAGACTATTTACAGGACAATATCACTCAAAATGACAGTTTCTCACTGCCAATTAGTCCCACCTGTGAAAGGTACCATAACAAAGTTGAAATAGGGTTACGTGTTCTGCGTGACCATGAGGTTCTAGCTGAATCATGATTCTTCACCTGGGCCTTCATTTCTGGAAGGCAGGTGATTATCGTGAGGCTCCATGCAGCAGAAGTGCTGAAGTGCTAACTTCAGAAACGGGATACACAACAAATCACAGGCGGTTGCAGTGCAAGGATACTTTAATGCCCACCCTTTCAATAAAAAGACTAGGGACCTGATGGTGTGCTGACTGGTCAGGACTACTGTACACCTCAGGGAACAGTGATAGATGAGTATAGAGCAATGGTGGAATAATGATTAGCAGGGAGGAAAACAGAAGAACCTTGGAGAAAAACCCGCTCCAATGCCCTCTTTCACACTACAAATCTCATGCAAAGTCCTGAGCAATGAACCTGAAGCTCTGTGGTGGAAGCCTGTGTCTACCTGCATGAACAATAAACAGCAGGTGATACATCTTTCTACCAGGTAACACCGGCAAATCTCTCAAAAGAAAAATGTATTATATACAATGTCTGGTGGCCCTAAGCAAGACATGGAGGTCTACGTAGGACACTGCTAACCATGTACTGATATCATGTTCACAACACAGCACCAACATAAAGCTTTCTACAACAAATTCTGGTGTTACATATAATGTGGATCTTAGCTAAAACCATTTAGTCCTTCTATAACATTGGATGCAGCCTAATTTTCAAACCTGAACAAATGCATTCTTCTTGCAGAATCCAGAACAGGTGTGCTTTACATTGTTTGCATTAGATCAAGTTCCATTTAACAGTGAGGTCCATGTTCTCAAAAACAGACCATCATACATGGTGACCACAAAGCCATACAAGTAATAAGCGACATGACACAAAGTATAACTCGATTAGCACAAACCTGTGTGGAGGAGAAGTGAAGAGGACAGAGGCGAGAAGACTGAGGAAGCTCGTTACAAGCCACTCCAGTGCAGACACCTGCTGCAAGCAGTGAACTCTCTACACATCATACCTACCCTTCCACCCACAAACAAAGAGCTGTGTTCTGTGGATGTGCCATCACATTGTAATCAAACTCTAACATGCAGTAAAAGAATGCACAGATAGAAAGACGTGGCACTGCAGTAGCAGCGAGGATAAAGTGAACCGTAAGAGTAATGTGTGATAAAAAGCAACAGTCTGCCTCACTTGAGTGATTACAGTTATTTAATTTATAATTCCTTCTGCTGACAGGAAGATCTCTCAGTGGTGGGTCTGAAGATGCAATGCAGAATGGTAGAAGTTCATTGGTGTTTTGGATGACCCAACTGCTCCCATATTCAGGGTCGAAGAAGAAGCTGAGGAAACAAACAAGGAAGTAACAAATATCACTTGTTACTCACTTGTTTGTCTTATTTATTCTTTGACCCAGATGATGGAACCAGCTGGGTCATCCAAAACACCGGTGAACTTCGACCAGACCACATACGGGTATTAGCATATGCAAGAAGACGTTACTCCTTATACACTGCATATTTTTAGAATCCTGCTTTCCTTGACGATAGCCATAAAACCACAATGCTTCTTATATAGGGAAAGCAATGATAAAAATGATGTAACTGTTAGAATGGCTGGAGTTCAGGTTTTCAGAACAAGAAACTAAACTGGGGCCAGACTTATTTCTATTAAAAAAAAAGGATATTTATAAATAACAAACTAATTTGCAAAACAACAGCAAAATTAAATTAAAAAATATGAAAATACTGCCCAATTTCTGCTCCTATACCAATACACAAATTATATTTGTGTGCTAAACATCTATACAGCTGCATTATAATCAGACAGTGACAGATCATGATGTAATTACTACAAAGTTACTAGATTCTACTTTCAACGCATGACTAGAAGCAATCATCTTAACAGGAGATCCTGCTAACTCATGAGGCTGCCTACTCAAGGCATGACATGCCCTGAAGGATAGCTGTAACACTGTAATCTTGATTCTTTACTATGGGTGAGGATACCAATGCATTCCACTGCAATGCCCAACAAATTCAGTTGGTTTGTTTAATTTTTAACGTACCATAATGGCTTTCTCGGCTTCCTCTACATTTTTCTTGCGATTCCGGTCATTGATGTAGCTGATACTAGAGATGGTCGAGGTGCGCAGTTTATCCAGTTCCTCTGCTCTTTCTTCGAGTGCCTGAATTTTCTGCTGAATCCGGCTTGCTTCCAGATCATCACCCCTGTAAGCATACAGGAAGGCTGCAAAAGTATACGGATGTGTTGAGCTGGAGGAATTATGAACGACATGCTTTGCTCCAATAAAACTGGATGGGGTACCATCATGCAAATAAACGTTTCTATTATTCCGCTTGAAACATGACATATGTGTACATACTGATGACATATATAAAATATATAGAAACTACAATGTTAGTATAAATCTGTTAGTTGAAGCAGTCTGGATCTGATTTAATACCATACACTCATCAGATTTAAAATTAAAAATAAACATATGAGGGTAAGTCAATAGGTAAGTTACAAATGGATATAGAACTTAAATAAGAGTACTGATTCGAAAAATGCTTCTATTTCTCAACATAATCTCCCTGTACATTGAGGCACATGTCCCATCGTTTCACAAGCCCCTGGAAACCAGCAGCATAAAATTCTTTGGGTTGCTGTCGGAACCAGGCATGTTCAAATGGCATGGCCTACCTCATAATGCATGACAGGTTAGGTTTTCACAAAGTCTGTGCATGATGGGTGCCACGTATGCTGACCCAAAACACAAAATGCAAATAATGAGTCTGGCATTCCAGAATCTTAATTGCTACCACAATGAAGGACACGATATGCTAGCCCGAATTGTCACAGGTGATGTGGGTTCACCATTACCAGCCCGAGACAAAGCATACGTCAATGCAGTGGAAACATCCTGTGTCGCCTGCCAAAAAAAAGTTTAAATGACATCATCCTCCAGGAAAGTGATGCTCAAAGTCTTCTGGGATCATGAAGGCATACTCCTCACCACATTTCAGCCTCAAGGTGATGCAGGACACCAATATTTCAGAGGAAAGTATTAGCTCTATCTTTGGGGTAGATATCTACCCTGAAAATAGAAGCTGTACATTCTATGAAAATGCTGATCAACAACAACTTCCTTACTTTGATTTCTTGACACCTCTTTCCTATCTTCCTGATACCTTCTGATACCTAGCTAAACGACCTTGTTCTGGGTCTTCCCATTAAATCCTAACTAAAAAAACCCCTTCTCAGTATCCTAGTTCTATCCATTCTTTTAATGTAGACTGAGAAAAACTATAAACACATCTGTTAACACAGTCAGTGCACTGGCCAAGATTCAAACCTGGACTTCTTAAATAAAGGTCAGAGGCATTATTTACTGAGCTCCCTTGTTCAGTGTGTGATATTGTACACTCTCACCTTGATTGTGCCATGTCTCTCTCCTTCATAAGCTGCGTTTTCTTCATTGCGTAGTTATACGGGTTCGTTTTGAACCTCTCTTTTTCTCGCACGATCTGCACAAAAATAAGCTATTGTATGCACCACATTAGCCAACATAGCGACCTGAACAATAGAAAATATATGTTATTACAGATGACTATGAAACAGGGGGTCCGCAAATATTTATTCAAAGACCCTTGATTCATAATGCCTTCATTGACACTACTATAGCAGCAACGTGCCAAGACGGCCTGCATCCGTGGGTGCTACTAAAGCAGCAGAGACACACAGGCTTTAAGAAACCTGGCATATATCTAAAATATCTGTCAAACTCTGAAGTGGGGGGTTAGACTTGAGGTTTCCACAGTGGTGACTATGACAAGTATTGTTTTCTGCAATGTGATGCCATGAAGCCTGGTAAGAGTTCACCAATGTTTTGGAGGGATCTTCATTCTGGTTTGGCTTACTGTTCAACCCTGAAGATGGAGGCAGTAAGTTTCTCCAAACGTTGGTGGACTTCTACCAGAATGCACAGCATCGCATCCTGGAAGACAGTACTTCTCTGTACTTATTATTGCATGCTGTGGTAGCAGGTACTTGGGGTGCAGCTGCAGGCTGCCTGAGTAGAGGCAGGAGAAAGAGAGAGAGCACTTTACTTCCATACGAAGTTAGGGTTAGGGTGACGGACCAGAATGAAACAAATCAAATGACCTATAGAAGTTACATTTCTGTAACCAGCAGCTCATCTCCAGGATTTATATATTTATGGGCATTGCATGGCATAAAAGGGGGGGGAAGATGACATGTCATCAAAATCCGGGTACTGATGATAACTTTTTAGTGCCAGATGATGGGATGACTGATGAACAGGAAAGGATTTGGAAGGAAGCAATCCTCACCTAATCAAGGCACTTCTGCGTGGGAAAAATACCTGACACCTCCATCGGTGTTCTGGCTGAGATGTGAAGCAAATACCTATCAAATACAAGACTATGGTGTTACCTCTATGGACCAACTTGCTAAGTGTAGCCATGAAGTACAAGCACCACAACAATATTTAGAGACCATGTACCTTCTTATACACAGTTAGAAGAAAGAAATACTAACAAATGAAACCCTGGCTCTGCAGACAAGAAGAGTAGAAATGATCACAGGAGCTCTGAAACGTTGGCACCTATCCAACAAACTGCATCATCTTCACTCCACTTCTGCTTATAATGTTGTGAAGCAGAAATATTGCTGTTACTACAACTGTTCAGGTTCTTTTAAAAGTTACTACATGCCCACATTAATGCTGTGGAATGTAGACCCACTGCTTGGTCGTGACTGCAAGATATGGCCCTGTAAACAAATGTGGTAGTTTTTCCATTTGCTTTCCACATCACAATACAACAGCCGTTCAAACCACTCTGGTCACGCCTGTTGCTATAAAATTTATATGGTGAGCATTATTCATAGCTTAAGTGCATACTGTTAAAACATCTTATATGACAGTGTTTCCTGATCGTAGTGGTGCGCCTCTGAGGATGATTCTTTTGAATCGAAACATGTAAGGTGAATAAAGACTGAAGTGTTGTAAACTTGTGTCACATTGGACTGAAAATTATCCATTTTGTAATGGTGGAGGTATACTTCCATGCCCACATACATCTTCATGGTGTAGTGCTTATACCTTTTCACTTCACAGAAGGAAAGTTAAAGAGCTGAGAGAATATGAAATGAAAAAACTCCAAGAGTTTAAAGATGTTGGAAGATAAATTAATAAATAATGAAATAAGACAACATGGGCAAATTTTAAGAATAGGCAAAGATGAAAACAGATTCTAAACCTGTAACTATAAGGAATATACTGAAGAGGAAGATAGAGAAGAAGGTAGGATCACGGGGAAGAAGACAACACATATAAAGGCAAAATGTCGAAGGAAAAAGATGATGATGCCTACTTTTTCAATGTCTTCCTCCTTAAACTCATAGATCATGGCCTCCTTGATGTCCTTAAGCTTCTGCTCAAGCTCATCATGTGTCGGCATTGAGATGCCCTGAAGAGCACACGTCTCTCGCCACTTCATGAATTCACTCTCTGTGAAGTCCTGGTTACTGATGAACTCCAGCCTGAACACCCTCTCCTGAGCACCATGTCTGTATATCAAGAAAATATGTAGTGCTCAACTTTCCACACCTTTTCGTTTTCAAGGTATGCCCTGCCCCCCATTAGCACAAGTTCTAAAGAGTAAAGTTGACTCTGTGCTTAACTAACTAAGCACCCTGAAGACATATGGGACAGTGGATGTACAGATCCACATTTTCTTGACCTCAACTCTAGTTGTAGGTGAGTGGTCAGCTTCATGGCCTGGCCACTTTACCCCGGGAAAGAGCCCCCAGTACCCATGGGACAGGAGGTTGAGTGGACCCCAGGGCCAGTCTGGATTACATGGAGAAGTAAAAATTCTTGACCCTACCGAGGCTCTAGCTCCGACCTCTTGGTCGTCCAGCCTGTAGCCAGTCATTATACTGACTGCGTAAGTTCCACCAACAAGAATTCAGTATAATGAAACTTTCAAAGCAGGGCTGCTTTTCTCGGTGTAACACAGATTTATCTGCTTCTCCATTGCATTATTTCACTCACAATTAAAGCGACTTCACCTCGCATGTTAGTTGGGGAGTGATGTATAGTAACCTCACACCACAAAAACCTCTGTAAGACAGCAAATGTCAGCTTAAGCAATACCACTCCTGCTTTGCATTCAGATGGCCTGGGTTCAAACCTCAGCCTGACAACCAGCTATCTTGACTGTGATTTTCAGTTTCCCTCTGGGCAAATGCTAAAACAGTCCCTCAAATTTGGCCACAATTGTTTCATTCCACATCCTTCCCAATTCATTATTCACTGATCCGAATATCTGGCAGTATATACGTCATGAGGCAGGAGCCAGAGCAGCACAGTCTACATAACCCCTGGCTATGGGCTGGATGGGCAAGGGGTCACAGTTTGAGTCCCAGGAGGGGCAAAACATTTCTCCTCCCCATGTCATCCAGACCAGTTTTGGAGCCCACCCAGCCTACTATCCAATGGGACGTGGGGCCTCTTTCCCTGGGGGTTAAGTGATCAGGGTGTGAAGCTGACCATTAACTCCCAAGTCCCAAGATCAGGAATATGTGGATCTATACATCCACTCCCCCATATGCCTTTGTGGCAGAGTGCTTAATGGGGACAACTTTACCTTTTATACAGTGTGATGTAATGACAATGCCATTAAATAAACAATGAATTAACAAAATAGACATATTTATCAAGAAAACTTCTAGTTTTCTACAATACAATGTAATAAATTTACAAATCCTGTAACTACAACTTAAAGACTCTGATATAACACATTGAAAAAAACCATTCTGTAAGCTTACATGTCCACAAGTGGCAGTGTGCAATGACACAGAGAGATGCTGCACCTTTTTCTGCACCCACCAAAATTTTCAGTGAGCATTACATGATCCAATAATCTGTACATAGCAATCCTTTATTTCATACAATAAAACAGTGTTACATATTGTTAGGCAGGAAAGAGATGTGTGGGGGAAACCCAGAACAAGATGGTGCAGTCACGTACTCCTACACATCTAAATGAGAGGAAAGAGCAGGCAAGGAATTGAAAAGTCTCCATAAAAATATCCTATCTAGTACAGCCATAGTAAACATACACACACCCTTACAGAAATGTGAATGTGCATACACAAACCCACAATATCACAGGACATCAGCTCACTACAACACAGCCCGCAGACCACTGCGTGGCTCTCTGGAACACACACACACACACACAATACTACAGGTATGGTAACGACTAATCTTTGTTCATGAACACGTTTTACATGACAAAGATACAGCACTGAGAAGTTCTTATATTGTATTTGCAGAAGAACATACAGCCAACCACACAACAGATTTTATACAACAGTAAGAAAATATGGCCACCACTCAACTTTTAAACTTCCAACTAACTGCACAGATATTGTCAGTCACATCATAAGTTATATTAATTATTTTAATCTACCTTGATTTCTAATGGTAGAAATCCATTTTAAACAACACATGTTCATCGCACATGTAAAGTGTTTCCTCTGGGGTGTTTGGCTCTGCCTTCTGATGATGGCCAATAGTGGCCAAAACATGTACAGACTTTTTAAACATTAAACTGCTGCACTTGATGGAACTTTCATACTTATTAATACATTTGCAAATCAAAGATGGTGCTGGTCACAGTAACCATATGGTCTAAGGCATGAACTGTCTGCTCGTTCAGATGCTGGGATTGTGGGTTCGAATCCCACTTGATGCATGGATGTTTGGTGTGTGCACTGTGTTTGTGTTGTCCTGTGTTTAGATAGAGGCCCTGTGACACGCTGATCACTCATCCAATGGAGTCCTACCATCTGTGAAAAATGTTTACGGAACTGAATAAGAGGCCAGGGCCTTCAATGGGCTGGAACAACCATTGAAAAAAATGAAAGACTGTGAGAAAAAAGAAAAGAACCCTGACTTTTTGTCCATCAACCCACACAAAATGGAAAGAGGGCTAGAAGAAAAAACAGTGATATCTTCATTTTTGACCGTTATCAGCCAACTTAACAACTGTTCCCATGGGTCTCTGCTCACACATACAATTCTTTTCAGAAATGCATCACAAAGACTCTTTGTACATAAGACCAAATATTTGTGTGTTTCTGTGTGTGTGCATGTGTAAACATGCATCTGTTCCTAAGGCTATCTGCACCAACCTAAAAATTGTAACAGCAGCATCTAGAGGGGTGACAGCATGAAGCCCAACAGGAGGGGCACCTACCCCAGAGGGACATACAGCCCCACCTACCCTATGGACAGAGAAGCATGCAACTGCAATCTGGAACCCACACATAAAGCGATATGAGATCAGGCACAGATGTCAGCAAGATTTATAACTTGTTAACGATATCAGGATGGTGTATACACGACAAAATAGAAGGGAAATGACTCTTTGCAGAGTACTGCACTTTAGCCTTGCCAATAGAATATTAATATGGACAACAAAGACAGGATAAGAGGCATGGAAGAGATAAAATGAAAAAGAAATAAAGGAAGCAGAAAGTTCCAAACACTTCAGAAGCACTACACACTCCACTTCAAATACTCACAATTCAATCACAACTGAAAGAAATGTTGATCTCATGAAAATCTTGTACATTAGCATTTTTCAAGAAAATGACAGCTGATGACACAGGGACACTGTTGCAAGAAACACCCATTGGCAGAATTGGCACTACCTGTAACCAGTGCTTGAAAGAAAAGTTTTCTCCAAACATGAAATTAAAAAGGAAAATGTCTTAGATGACGAACAAACCAAGGTGGGAATAACAGGTCACAAAATGTGTCATGCAGAAACAGGCTGGTGTAGCAGTAAAACTCCAGGCTTTTATTTGCGAAGTTATTTGGTTCAAATCTTGGTTGGGACATGCCCCAGTCCCTCCAGGGAAATTTCAGGATAGCATCATGATTAGATTATGATTTCTTCCTTCCAGACTCTTTGCAAACACAACTCTCGCTCAACACTACACAGTCTAGCTACTGACACCATAAAGTAATCCAAAACTGCTCTTCACACAGAAAGAAGGAAGGAAAGTGCGCAAAATGGCTGTGAAGGAAGGAGGACATTGAAAGTACTGTTATCACTCTAAATTAACATATTTACCTTAATTTCAAACCCTTGTTCGTTCTTGTGTTACCCAGCTGGTATATCTTCCCAGTCTCACAAACGCCACTGATTTCACATACCTGTAAGAAGGATGTATATGATAAATGCAAAATCAGATTAAACACCATACATTTCCAAAGGTGTCATTCTTCAACAAGCCCTAATTCTGATTCTTTGGCCCCTCTGTCATTATTGTAGCGGCCCTCTGTCACACTGTGAAGCGCCACTGCACTGACATTGGCGTTATCAACAGACTTCAGTGTTGGGCTGGGTGCTAGCAGTGCCATCTATGGAAGAGCTTTTGGAATCACAAATGTACTACATGAGATTTGAAGTTATTACAATGTTTCCTATGGAGGTTACTGTCTTCTGAGGTGTGGTGCCACATTATCTGGTACAACCTTACTTATGCTTGGGAGGAACACATATCACGAGACAATATTCGTCATAAACTTACACAAACTCTAAGTCCTATTAGAGCATGGAAACTGTGGATAAAACTGAGGACTGAACATATAAGAACGTAACAGTTATAGGACTAAGATGAACACAGGTACTCCCAATTTACGTGACAGCTATGTACCACCCCCACCCCAAAAAGGTGTGTACAGTGGGTGAACCTAGATCAGTCAAACATGACTTCCCATAATTCTTCTTCTTCTTCCCTACATTTCCCTTCCACCACCCACGGAATTCTCTACTCGCCCTTCTGTCTGCCCCTCTCAGTTGGCTGACAGGCAATCTACATCAAACTGAGTAAAAGTGGTCTACATCAGTTGACTGCATTAAAAGGAAATCATATTTTCTGAACCCTCACATAACTGTATGGGTGTACATGTAAATGCTCACAACATGGAGAGACCAGCACAGGAAATTTGATGTCATTAGGTAACTGTGAAGTTGCCACTCTGTTTAATTAATTAAGCACAATGCCATGAAGACATATGGGGAATGGAGGTGTATCTCTACCATTCTTGAACCTGGCACTAGATGAAGGTGAGCTGTCAGCTTCATGCTCCCACCACTTTATTCCTGGGAAAGAGCCCCCACCTGATACCCATTGCACAGGAGCCAGTATGGGGCACAGAAGCATCTCTTCTCCTGCCAGGAATTCCAACCTCCTCAATTATGCAAATGGGGACCTGTGTGATAAACTGTGTGTTTCTCACTGCTTGTTCTTTTCACAAATATTTTGATACATATTATGAGGAACAAACAATACAGTGGAACCCCAGCAAAAAATCCTTCATTTAGGGTTTCTCTTCATTTAATGATTAATTTCAAGGTTACCAAGTCAATAATCACTGTGTTAAACTATTTTTTGTATTGCCAGTGGGGTGGGACTAAGTCCCTTGTACTGCGACCACTTCTGGCCTATTGTACCAGCCCCAGATGATAGGTGAGGGTGATTGTGGAGCAATTGGTGGAATGAAGATTGGCAGAGGAAACCGAAGTACTCAAAGAAAACCTGTCCCAGCGCCACTCTGTCCACCACAAATCCCACTTGACCAGACCCAGGATCGAACCCGGGCCACCGCGGTGGGAAGCCAGCGACTAACTGCTTGAGCTATGGCACAGCTAACTGTGTTAAACTACCTGCATTTATGAATTTCCTCAGTTTCACTTTTAAATCAACCGTTCTCCACAAAAATTTTACATGGATTTTTCACAGTACATATAAAAATTAAAGGAAAACTGTACCAAAAATTTGTTTCGTTATGATGAATTACTCACCCTATAAACAGGTTTCCCATTGTGATTACCAATTCCTATCCGTACAAAGCACCCTCGGACAACTCTGTCAAAAAATGGTAGATGAACAAACCTGAAAAAATGAACAAAATTAGTATATTCTTTCATTTTATGATTTCTGCACCTTCCTTCAGCAAATCCAAGTCTTAGAGGAGGAAGAAGTTTGGAACAGCTGTCACTTTCCAATTATCTTCACCATCGCTGCTGTGACCACAGTACTGAGTGAGCTGGAACTGATAAATCTACTTCTCTTTTACCAGCTCTGAAAGATTATACAGGGGTGCTCAGAAGTCTTTGGTTTTAAAAAGAAAACGCTGATCTATGGGACTAAAACAATGCATTTACTCTACACATCCCCCCCTGAGCTCCACACACTTAGGACTTCATTATTCTAACTTCTTAAACCTATCCAAGAAAAATTCTTTTGGTTGTGCTGCAAACCACCTGTTCACAGCTAACGTGGCTTTCTCAATGCTCAAAAACTTTCGTTCCTTGAGGTGTTTTTTGAGGTGAGGAAAGAGGCAGTAGTCCGAAAAGGCCAAATCGGGTGACTGGGCCAAATGATTCAGAATTTCAAAGAGAACATCTGCCAGTTTCTGGAGCATAATGGCTGCCTTGTGAGGAGCAGCATTGTCCTGAAAAATCAAGATTCTTTTGAAAACTTGCCTCAATATTTGGAGACCAGTTGCTCCTTCATTTCGTCGAGCAGCTAAACACTGTACTTTGCCGTGATGGTTGCACCCTTTTCCAGGTAGTCTACAAGCAAAACTCCATTTCTGTCACAGAAGACAGATGCCAACACCTTGCTTGATGACTTCTGCGTCTTGGAGTTCTCTGGACACGGGGAACCACTGTGTCTCCATTCCTTGGATTGCTCTTTGGTCTATGGATCATATATATACGAGGGGGTACCCAAAAGAAACTGAACTTATTTTTTTTAAATTTATTTATTCAAATTTTAACCGTTCAGCGTGGTTTGACGTGTATGTTTCGTCAGGTATTTAAATCGTCTGGGGGGGGTTTGACGTCTATGTCTCGTCCAGCTGCACACCTATGTTATAACGACCATAATAACTGATGGTTTTGCTGTAGATTGTTAGATTTTTCGCTGGCCTGTTGTCACAAGAACTATATATAATGAGACACGACTTTATCTGCGCTAAGTCATCGTTACATATGCCTGTCTTGCAGCAAATTTCCTGTTGCTTCTGGTAGTGGTTTCCTCATTCAAACTGTTATGAATGGCGTGTTTTCTTTCCTATGAAGTTATAAACAGCAGAGACTGATATGTGCTGTGTTTATAATATCATATTGCCCTGAGCTGGCCACACTAACACACTCAATTGGAATTCTTAGAAGAGGGATGTCCAAAAATTTATTCTTGCAAGATCGATTGATTTCGCACAGTACATAGCA